TTTCCCGAGGGACCTGACATTAAGTGTTTTGTTATATTTCTAGACTTTCACTTCAACGTACTTCAACAGCAACAAAAGAATACGCTTAATAGGAGCGAATCAAAACAGTATAACTCGGTACTTATAAGAACACAAATTTAATTCTCAAAACCATTGAATGAATGATTTAAAAGGTACTTTCCTTATATTATCTGCATCTTTTTCTTTTTGCTTTTTAGCTTGAGGCTTCATGTTTGTGTTATTGTGAATGTTGTTGTGTTCATTCACGAAAAAGAAAACTGGCAGTGTTTTTCCCGCCTTCTGTCACGCCACTTTCCACCATGCTCTGATCACCTGCTGTAATGTATTCCGAGCGGGGTACATTGCTTGATGTATCACGATCGAGATACATTTGATTTTAGTCAAGGCCACGTGACCAAGAGTCAGCCAATGGCTGTCCCTGGTCAGTAGAGTGAAAGTCTAGGAATATAACAATTCTCTATGTTTCACTACCACCATAGCGACATTTTAACTGTCGTATGCTGGTTCAAGAAGTTTTTTGGTCGATTCCCATTAGATGGGTCATTCCATCAATCAATTCGCGCGGCTTTAGCTCAGTAAGAGGAACTTGAAACGCAGTTGAAAGACAAAAGTGGTAGAGCGGTGTTGTGCGTTTTCCGTTGTTGTGAAAGATCGAGAAAACAATGGGGTCTTCCAAATAAATAAGTTAGATTATAACAGTATCCACCACTATAGATTCCAAATTCAAATTCAAGAATCAAATCTGTCCGTTTTTGTTTATGGCTGATGCACAGTTTTGACAGCATTCTTACGTGAAGTTTTTAAATATTATGAGCACTAGTTTATGCAGTTTATTTAGTTCGGTCTTAAACAACCTCACAACCACTCCCGGTAACTGCGGTTTCATTGGATACAAGCAGTGCACTCAAACGTCATAGAAACACAGTTCCGAATGTGTTTCAGTATTACGAAAAAGTAAATATCCGTCCACTTTTTTTGCAATACAGAGAGCTCTTACAGATGTTTGTGGGTGCCGGACGTATTTTTAAAAATTAAACGGCATGCAACTTTCATCTAGAAAGAAGATAACAACTTCTGGTTCGACTGAAGTGTTGGGGTATATATACTGTGCCATTTTCAACTCTTTCTTTCGAACGATTCTGCTTAAGAGTAAAATGTCTTACGTCGATCTTGTCATAAAGCAGATGGTATAGAGATGGTGGTTTAAGACTTACGAACACAATTAACGGACAGTCGATGTCAGGCAAGACTAAAGCATCGCTGCTCATTGCTGTGTACTTGGCAAGCAGCTGATTTCTTTGGTGATTCCTTCGCTACCAACTCGTACCCATAGCTAAGGCTAGTACCTTGCGTGCGCAGTTTGCAGACATATGGTGCACTCGAATGCATTCACACACAGATTTGTGCTAATCATTAATGATGGCAATGCGCTTTATGACGTCTTAAAATGCATGGTGATGAATTAGTAAAAGACAATAATTTCTTATTTATTATCGTATTTGTAATGAGTAGTTCAAGAGAAGCCTCCTTTAAGAATTTCCTCCAAGTTTCATAACTCAGTTTATTTTGATCCTATGATTATTGATCCCAGGAATAACAGAAAGCAGAATTTTGCTCTTTGCGGTGTTTCGGTTACCGGTTAGAATCGAGAACTTAGCGAGAGTGCTCGTCGTTAGTGATCATCTGATTACGGTTGTTTAAGTATTGCGTCTTTGTCATAGTTCTTACGGTGGAGTCATACTTTTGGTCAGTTAGTGTTGGCAGTATTGCTTTCTTGAAGATTCAGTGCTATCAAGCTGAAAAGCCAACCAACAAATTCAACAAATTATTAAACTGTGATCATTCAGCTGATTTATCTTAACTAGCTCCTATTTCACTGAACTGTTTTTTCCGTGCCTCAGCTTCAGAACCTTTAAGTCTTAACTGCAGCAGATCGTAGAGCACCGTCAAAAAGTAAAATATTTTATCTTGATTCCAGCATATGAATGATTTCTAAAGTGGAAATCTTATATGTTCAACGTCATTCGTATCCTTGCTTGCGTCACACCTATTTCAATTGGTCTGTTTTTGTTACAGCCAATGAATAATGCTACAACGAGTTTCAAGTGTTCGACACCCGGCACCGATCCAGTTTTACTTTAGAGCCAGCAACCAGCAATCGTTTGTATAACGATGGCTTACAGTACGGTTCGGTTATCGTTTGTTTCACAATGTTCACTTTGTTGTAATGGATCACGACGTTTCGATTGCGTACCGCTGGTCTTCAACTCTATCGCGTGATGAATATCTTTCATTATAAAGGAAGATAATTTATTTAGAAACAACTTGGAATCAACCCACTAGGGTAACATTTTAGATAGGTTAGTCAAAATTTCCAGCATGTTCGTTCGCTGGTTCGTCTTTTCCTTGGCTTTCTTTTTGCACTGTAGATGCACAGATATAAGCTAGCTTTACAATTCAGACAGAACCAAGTTCGTTCTGACAGTAACTAAATACCCTTAGCCAACTTATTCAATCTGTCTGGAAGGTAGCAAAAACCTTTGAATGCCGTTACTTTGAACAAACACTAATTAACCGTGTTGTCTTTCAGAATAACTAGAAGAAAAAAAGATTTGGACCATTCTGGATTGTGGTTGGTGAGTAAAATATAAACCAAATCTTACACCTTCTTTACTATCTGTAATCGTCTTGAGAAAGCCAATTCGTAACCGGTCTTCCCTCGGAAGCTAAAATATAAATCTTCTTCAGTGGGAAGACATGATCGTTTCCCAATTTTGAGTGAAGAAGTACTTGAAGCAGAGTGTTTCTTCTTAGTTTATTTCAAATTATTCGTTCATACAGATTTTAAAAAACCTTATGAGCTATACATAATCCGGCGGGATGGGCCTTGAGTAGTGTGTTAATCATTAAAAAAATTGGCGTGTATTCAAGTGAACCTTTTCGGACAACGGATCGAATAAATCTTTTATGCTTTAAACTGAAAAATACATTGATAATTTAAACCGAATCGACTGATCAAATCCTTGAATAAGAATGCGTTATGGAAAAAACAATGGATATCTCTTGCTTTGGCTCTTATCGCATGGTAACATCCAGGAATCTGTTGGGCATTCTGAATGAAGCACTTTAATGGTCCAAGAATTGGCGGTTGAAGACTGTCAGAAATTTCTGCGTAATTTCATGTACTGCAATTCTAGTAGGAACAGGAATAGAAAGCTTGCGCCGCAAGCAAACTCAAGGTGGTTTTAATCGACTAAACGTGGGGGCATTATCTCGAACAGTGAACAACAGAGTGAGGGTGCATCAGCCTCAGTCCAATGCAGTTGTATTTTTCGGGTGAGCGTTCAGTATTCCCCTCAGTCGCCATTTTTTTATTTTCAAAGCAGAGGAAAATTGGAAAGAGTACAAAATGTCGAAGTGGGGGAGTAGGAGACCATGTGGGGAACGAACGCGTGACAGAGGCCTAAGAACTCGCGCGTGCACCACATCATGAGTGACTTTTTTTTCTTGTGTGCTCTCCTCTTTCCAATTAAAGCTTCCACTACTAAAGAGAGAGAAACTCAGAAATGAAAAAAATCGCTAAAATCGCACCGGATCGGGAAAATAACCACACAGCAAGCAAGAACACACCATGTAAATAAGGTAAGACGTTTTTTATTGAGAATTTCTACGAGTATTTATCTTCCTAAATCTATAACGTGGATTCCCATACAAATCCTTTATAAATTCACGGCCGCCATGTAACCCAATACCGCTTTCGTTGAACAGTCACGTCCCGGCTCGCACACCGCTAATAATTAATCTAATCCTTTCACGTGACGTGAGCTTGGGCTGCCTGTGATTAAAGCGCTGTCTTCCATTCTACTGGGTAGAAAAATTCAGAAACATGTACTTGACAGTGTAGCTGTGTAGCTTGACGGTAAAGAAGGAAAAGAGAAAGAGTTTGAAGCAACTGGAGTAAACCTTAAGAGAACCAAGTGCAGAAAAACGCTATTCTCCAGTTCCAGACGGACAATATATGATGTTTTGTTGGTGATTGCGATCATTTGGGGGTAGTCTTCTACACTGCAGTATGGACGACTTTTCAAAAGTAAACGAAATGAGAATCAAAGTAGTGAGCTCTTAACCGAGCGGACGCATTGAAGTTCGATGTTTCCGTGAAAAAAAAAAACATATCAGTGATTAAAAACATTGCTTTGATACTGTTGCGAAAGCGATTTATAAATAAATAATTCTACGCGGCCTTGGCTGTCTAAACTTACTTGACAGGCGGTTGTCACTTTTCTAATCTGCGGCACGTTTGCGGTGACAGTTTTCACGCTTTGCGGAGTCCCGGGGTTTCCGGGGTGGAAATGAAAATTTATGAGAGATCGTTGCAAGCTCTCTTTTCCTCGGCCCCTCGCTCGCGCGGTCTCGCGAGGCTCGCTTCGCTTACCCAAACAGGAGAGCTTGCTCGCAGGCTAAAATAACAGCAGATTGAAGAGCTTTTAATAACATGCGCACTCTTCCACAACGATATCCCTAATAGTTTTTATCAAGTAGCCGTTTTTGTCAGTGACCAGAATCAAGGTTATCGGCTTCAGCTTGGAAGGAATGCAGCACGACCCATCTTTGCCTTTGATCCCGTTTTTCTGCGTCACGAACGCCTTTAGGATAGAGTGATTGATGAATCTTGCCTTTCCAGTGTTGCTGGAGCAGTTTCCGGAACACTGGTATGCGTTAAAGGATCTGGGATAAATGACCTTCGCTGTTTTACCGAATTCGAATGATTCTATGACCATGTCTTCCTTTCCGCAGGGCTTCTCGCTGGCGGCCATCTTTGAGGGTGAATTGTCGCGTCTCATTCTACTAACAGAGGATCCGCTAGTCTTCAGATTGAGAGCCAAATAAGGAAAGGCTTGTCCCTGCTGGGCTTCGCTGTAGANACCCAAACAGGAGAGCTTGCTCGCAGGCTAAAATAACAGCAGATTGAAGAGCTTTTAATAACATGCGCACTCCTCCACAACGATATCCCTAATAGTTTTTATCAAGTAGCCGTTTTTGTCAGTGACCAGAATCAAGGTTATCGGCTTCAGCTTGGAAGGAATGCAGCACGACCCATCTTTGCCTTTGATCCCGTTTTTCTGCGTCACGAACGCCTTTAGGATAGAGTGATTGATGAATCTTGCCTTTCCAGTGTTGCTGGAGCAGTTTCCGGAACACTGGTATGCGTTAAAGGATCTGGGATAAATGACCTTCGCTGTTTTACCGAATTCGAATGATTCTATGACCATGTCTTCCTTTCCGCAGGGCTTCTCGCTGGCGGCCATCTTTGAGGGTGAATTGTCGCGTCTCATTCTACTAACAGAGGATCCGCTAGTCTTCAGATTGAGAGCCAAATAAGGAAAGGCTTGTCCCTGCTGGGCTTCGCTGTAGACAACCAGCCAAACCTTGGGAATTTCCACATCATCTGTGATTGCGGTTGCAAATCCACCACTTGTTTTGACAAAAACCTTGAACCTCAACGGTGCATCTTTACGGACGATCCACCGTTTAACAATCTTGGTCACAAGAAGAGACAACCAGCCTGACTGATGCGAAGACAGTTGTGGGAAAGACATTTTCACACCTGGTCGTGTTTCGTGGATGGACACCGTCAGCTTCTTGTTGGCTCGTAACTCGTGGGTTGAGAGGAAAATCTCTGCTTTGCGAATAGTTCCTACTTGTGCTTTGACATGTGGCGGCAGCAAAAACTCGTCTGTTTCTTGATTCCCTACAAAGGAAATTGATGCTGTTTCCAATTCCGTCTTTCATCATTTTCTCAGTAATGCTAGCAATCGCTAAACTTTCAAATTTTCACTGAACTGGGCCACAAACAGTTTTTTCCTTCTTTTGATTATGGACCAACCTTAGTAGCTGCAATGCTTGACAAAATGCGCTATCCTAGAGAAAATAAACTTGGGTATCGACGCTGCTTCAACTAATGAACGTTTCTGTGTATTAACAAGAAAATCATCTATGGCCATGTAAATGACAAAATCAGAGTCCCGAGACAAACAAATATGTCTCCTGAGCATTATTTTTGAACTTGCAAGCAGCAGAGATCAACTTTGAAAAACTGTTAGGCTGAACAGATTTCAAAAATCCTAATTTCAATCCGTTTCAATCTTCTTCAGTTTTGCCCATCCGTAACATCTGTTGTTTCTGTTATCTTATTTTAACCTTCCTTTAACGTTTTAAGCGGTTATTTTTATGTTTCTCTTAATTTAACGGGCATTTTTAATTTCCTAATTTGACTGAATTTCGTGACAGCTCCTTTAATGAAACTGCTGAAATGTTTCGTGCAAAGAAGATCGACCATTAGAGATAAACTTCGCGTTATTGGAAGCTCTGTTTTATGTCCCAGATATTACCAATGTCAGGAGCCCATAACGTCCTGCCAATGTTGACTTAACAATAAACGAAAACTTACTCGTTGCAGTTAAATAAGAATAGCTTACATTGTGCTTGGAAACTCTCCAGAAAATACGCCATTCCATGAGCCTCATTTTCTTCTACTAGTTCTTCGTAGAATGTCGAAAGGAAGGATGGTGTCTCAGTCTTGTTCCCTTCAAAGGATATGCCCTCCTTTTTGGTCACCTTCCGTTCGTCTCTGATTGCTATTGAGCAAGCCATGAAGGCTTGAGAGGAGAAAAGTAAAAACGACAGGCAAAGCTTCATCTCCTATTCCCGACACTGATTAGCGGATCTGTGGGGAGTACGTCCTTCAAATACGTGAACACCCGCAAAATGATTCTCAGACAACGGGCTGTTCTGTTTTTCAGTCCACCCACAAATACCTTCATAGATCTTGACCAATCAATTTTTTTTGTCTGAGTTTTTACTTAGTGTACGGATCACGTAACGATATCTGACACTAAGTCATTCTGGCGGGGTTAATAGCTTCAGGTCAAGGAGCACCCATTTATCTTCAAAGTGTGAAGAGATGGAAAGGAGGAACAAAACAAGAACTAGGAATTCAGTATGGCAGTCCTTGTCTGTCCTTGGCGAAAGGAACCAGGGGAAGGAACTTATTAATTTTCTTTTCCGTGCTCAATAATATACCAGTCATTTAGATCATTTAGATGAATTTTGTTCTCTTCTTTTAACCAGATATTGAACAATTTACTAATAAGCTATCCAAAAATGTAAAGAGAGAGAGACTATGCTATACAGAAAAAAAATATCAATAATTTCAATGTCCCCCAAAAAGCAAAACAAAAACAACAAAACTCGATAGCTTTTATGTATGAGGTTCCATAGTTTTATTACTGACCTTGCTCTTCTTCTTCTATTTTTTTTCTTTTTCTTTCTTCGAAAACCATTAACCTAATGCGAAAACTGTTTTGTGTTTTGTTTTAATTGACTGTTATTGTTTGGGCCAAATAAAAAAAGGAGTGCCAGTCACCAAAAGGTGTTCTTAAAAGAGAAAGCCCTAACAGGGATGACTGACCTTAGGTATCGCACAAACATGATTGTTAATTACCTTGGCGGGATGTCAAAATGGGAGCTAAACGTCTCCCAAAAGAAGCTGATATGGGCTATTTTCCCTACTCGGTTGTTTACAGGAGCAAAAGACACGCAAAGGATATCCCTAGAGCAGACACTCGAAATTGCCGTTGTGGTTTCGAGAAGTTTACTCTTCGCCGTGCAATAACTTGTCTTGTAGCTTTTAGCAGGAATTTCAGCCGTCTCCGAGAGTCGCACAATAAGCTCTTTGCATGACTTGATCACGTGATCAACTTTCGGTAAACACGAAAACAGTTCACTTTTGAAAAAATTTTGTTAGCACAAGCTGAAAGCGCAATCGAAACAAGACGCCTAAAGTCGTTTCCGTGGGATGCGTTGGTCTATGGAAGCAAAATGGCGTTCTATCTGAATTTGGAAAAATCAGGGAAACCGGAAAGATGTTTACTAAGTTTACTAAGGTCCTGATCCGTGTCCCATCCAGAAGTCCAATCCACCCTGAAAGCGAGTCGTCCATCGACGAGGACAATATTTTCGCGATTTCACCGCCAGTTGTCAAGGGTACGAGTTGAAATTTACGCGATTTAACCTCCCATCGTCAAGGTGTTTTCGATAAGAAAAGAAAAAAACTGAACTCTAGCTGTGCTCGGCAAAAACTGGCGAACTCCGAATAGAAAATTCTATCGGAAATCATGGCCCGCAACCAGACGCTACTTAAACCTTATGAAAAAGCTAGACCTAAACAAAAAAGAATCATGAAGGAAAGAAATAATTTGGCTTTGGTCGCCTTTCGTGACTTGCCAGTATCGATCAGTATCCCGAAGGAATTCGCTGGTTAACAAGCCGCCATCCTAAACCACGAGTGGGAAAACTCTAGCGCGACAAATTTGGCAAGGAACGTTCTGATTTCAACGTTCTTCAGAGGAAGCAAATCGATTAGAAATCGATACAGATTTTGTACAATCTGGTTGGTCGGCTTGGAAGAAGAGATAATCGATAAAGATTTTACGCAATCCTATTGGCTGGCTTTGCAATTTTGGGTACAACCAAACCGGATTTTTACCGTGGGAGTGCCACAGGCATCTCACGGAATTAGGTAACCTGAGAATTAGACTTCCGTTTAATTACAACCTCTAAAAATAACTTTAGTGAAATTCACATATCCTGGCCAACGCCCTAAGATTCCGTCTGTCGTATTATGGCTCTTGACTATTTTGCTGACATCTGATCTAGCAAGTATGGGCTATCTTTAAAGCAAGGAACGGGGAATGGGGAACGGGGAATGGGGAATCTTTAAGAGCGGGAATCTTTAAAACGAGGAATCTTTAAAAGCGGCAATCTTTAAAACGGGGAATCTTTAAAAGCGGCAATCTTTAAAACGGGAAAGACAAGACAAGATAAGACATTTATTATCATAATATTACAAGTACAATTTTTTAGCACGCAGTTAGCAAGAAAACGCTAGTCGAGGCGTGCCAAATTAATTCTATTACAAATCAGATATTGAAGACAATAAGTAAAAAGCTAAGAAAAAGAAAAGAAGAAATATGTGTAATGAATTCAAAAGCAAGAAAGACAAATCTGTTTAATGCAACCTGTGAAAGAGGCTAAGGTTTAGGATTTCGCGATTTTATTTCTCGTGTTATCATGGTTGCATCAAGGTAATCATCTTTGTCTTTTAATATTTAGAAGAGCACACTGATTAATTTTTGTTTGAACACTTTTTTTGACCTATCTCTCATTCTACCTGGTATCTCATTCCACACTTTAGCGCCAAAAATTGGGACGGCTTGTCTTAGTTTTTCAAGATTAAATTTTTTGATATACATATTGTACATATTGTTCTGCGAGAACAAGTTAACGATTTTTGATGGTGCAGAATTAGTATGAATATCATGCATTAGGTAAGATACGGACTTAAAATAGAGAAAGCTAATTGGCAGGATATTTGCATCAATAAAAAGAGGAATGGCATGAACTTTCCTGTTGGCAAAAAATATGAAACGGATAACTTTTTTCTGAAGCAATTAGATTTTTGTTAAATGTGTTTTTGACGCCTGCCCCCAAACTATCAAACCGTAAGATAAATAAGGCAAGATTAACGCACGGTAAATATTTAGCAAGGTATGTTGAGGAACAAAGTGCCTCAATTTAGCGATTAAACCAACGGTTTTACTTAATTTAGTAGCTACATTGTCAATAGGGAGCTTGAGAACTACGACGACGACCACAATGACGACTTCAAAAAAAAGGTTTAATGATCAAAACAGCAGCTCTGCACGTGCATCACGCTTTTTAGTACATTTCTTTGACGTCCACTTCACGACTACGACGTGAAACCTCCTTATTTGACGATTTATGGATATTCCTTCATCTTTTTTAACCTGAATAAAATTCTTACTAATTTAACTCCAGGGAACGTCGCCTGTATTTGACAAATTGAGCGGGTCCAAATAGACGCGATTAAGTTTGAAAGAACGCAAATTCATTTTTTTACCGACGCTTTCACTGCCGTCGTCGCCGTCCTTGCTTAAGGTCCCTAATGTGCATTTTCCACGAAAGATTTTTGTCAATCAGAATGCCTAAATATTTAACATAATTTTTCATTTCTAAACTAACGTATTGATTGGTATCATTATCGAAGATCTTAAGTTGGGGAAGGTAGTCAACAGACTTCTGGTAAGGATGAAAAATAACAAAATTGTTTTTTTTGGTATTAAGGGTTAATTTATTTGAGACCAGCCAAAGATACAATTTTTTAAGCTCAGAATTTACTGTTGCCTCAAGTGACCTTAGGTACTTGTTGGCATACAGTATGTTACTATCATCAGCAAAGAGGTAGAAATTAAAAGTATCAGAGCAAGTATGAATATCGTTAATATATAAGAGAAAAAGCAACGGACCTAGTACAGACCCCTGTGGAACACCATTAGATATTACAGCTGCATCAGATAATTGTTTGTTTATTTCTAGTGTTTGTGATCTGTTGCGTAAAAAGGATTCAAACCAGTTATTAATTATTCCACGAAAACCATAATGATTTAACTTATTTAGCAGAATTTGATAGTTAACTGTATCGAAGGCTTTCTTTAAGTCAAAGAAAATCCCAAAGGTAAATAAACGTTCATCCATGTTAGACTGAATTGCACTAACTATATCTACAATGGCATGTTCAGTAGAAAACCCTTCTCTAAACCCATACTGAGCTGAAAACAAAATATTCTTAACATTAATAAAATGCAACATTCTTTTATACATAACCTTTTCAAAGATTCTGTCAAACATAGATAAGAGAGAAATCGGTCTATAGTTATTTGCATCTGTCTCATCCTTAGTTTTAAACACAGGTATGACTTTAGCCTTTCTGAGTTTGAAGGGTAGCTCCCAGATGTGACCAACAAATTGACGATTTTAGCTAAAATGTCGCTGATAATAGTACTTGAATATTTCAAGAGTTTAGTAGGGCAGGAGAACCATGAGATTTATTGTTGGGTAAAGCCAATATTTCTAATTCAACTTCCCTGGCAGTTACAGGCTTAAACATGAAAGAAGTCGCTGGAGATCTCGTTTTTTTTAGAAAGTTGCGATGATCACCAGAAGCAGGTATCTTACTCGCTTATTTTTCTCCAACAGACGCAAAATGCTCATTTAGTATATTAGCAATTCTTTGTGGATTGCGATTAATCTTATTACCATTATTGAAATCTTTTATCGCATTTACATGTCGGAATTTTTTAGTTTTACGATTCAATAGATTATTTAACGCTTTCCAGGTCTTTTTCATGTTCTGTAAATTTTTTTCAAAATAGTCATTGAAGTAACCTCTTTTACTAATTCGAATAAGATGATTAATTTTATTTCGATAAAACTTATATTTAGTTTGATCACTAGAAGCAAAAAGTTTATTTTTAGTCTTAATTGAAGCTCTTATCCCTTGTGTTAGCCATGGTTTTGAAAAACGCTTCAATTGGCGTCGGGAAATCTGTTTAATTGGCACATACTTGTTAATTATTTTATTATATTTACTATAAAAAGAGGAGAATATATAATCAATGTCATTGTTACCATTTGCTATAATCGACTGCCAATCAATTTGATTAAGATCCTGCGTAAAAGAATCCCTATCAAAATTTGTGAAGTCGCGCATTTTTCTCTTAGCGGGTTTAATTCTATCTCTTGCTGATCTGAATATACAAAACTGCGAGAAATGGTCA